TGTCTGGCCAGCGTTCCCGCTGCTTGTCCAGCGAGGACCCCCCTCCCCGTTGGTTAGGGCTGTGGCTGTGGGGTTAACAGGGGCTCAGGGGGAGGATTCCCGGCCCCCAGGGACTGGTCGGCCCTTCCAGGTCCTGCTGATGGGCCGGGCCGGGCTGTGCTGCCATCAGCAGTGGGATACTATGGCCCCTCCTGGCTCAGGAACCGGACTGGAGACCGTCACAGAGTGGGGGCTCCATTCTGACACTCCATTGCCAAACGTGTCACCTTGGGGCCAGTTCAGCTCCGAGGAGACTCCCATTAAACAGCGCCAACCCCTCCCCCCCCCCCCCGCCTGTACAAACTGGTGTAATATCGCTGTCACAAAGTGTGCTGAGGACACCCAGGGGTAAATTATCGCCACTGCGTCGGTCTGCAACCCAGTCCGGGTCCGTGCAACAAGGCAAAGGCTGATGGTGGTGGGTTTGAGAAACCAGTCCACGGAAAGCAATACCCAACAATTTGTTCCCCGCTCTTTCCCCCCCCCCCCCCCACCCCACCCCACCTCCGACCTCCCGCGTCAGCGACGCAGACAAGTCACCAGGAGGGAATGTCGGCCTCGCATTCACCAGATAAATAGCTGCTGTACTTGTATAAATACTTGGGCAAGCGGGTCCGCCAGCGCGGTTTCCCTTGGTCACTCCAGGTCCCGTTGTGCGACGGAGAAAACATTCGCCGCTCTCCAACGGCCGCCCGTCAATCAGTCTCGTTCGTGGATTCTCTGTCGGGCTCCGTCCCTAACCCCTCGCTCGGCCCCTCCCCTTGCTCATGTGGGCCCTCCCCTACTAGCTCAGCCCCTCCCCTTGCTCAATAGCCCCTCCCCTTGCTCGCTCAGCCCTTCCCCTATTGCTCAGCCCCTCCCATTGCTCGCACAGCCCCTTCGCTGCTCACTCAGCCCCCCCCCACCCCTCCTCTCGCTCAGCCCATACCCCAGCTCACTTGTTCACGCTCTCTGCTGGCTCAGCCCCTCCCCACACCCTCAGCCCCTCCCCACACCCTCAGCCCCTCCCCTATTGCTTAGCCCTTTCGCCACTCGCTCAGTTCAGCACGGGTAAATCCAGGTCCCGGCAGGCAAGTAAAGTGCACCGGGTCCCGGCAGGTAACGTCATAGGTTGAAGATTTCGTCCTCTGTGTCCCGTAAGGAGGCAGCTCGGGAGGACTGGGTGAGGCGGACGGGCCCGAGGATGGCTCGCTGGGCTGGTGGGGTCCTCACCGGTGTCCCCCTGTCTGTACTCGGCCCAGAGCAGGCGGCCATGGTGGTCTGTACCCCTGAAGACCTTCCCAACGAGAGAGAGAGAGAGTGAGGAATTAGTCAGTGTCACTGACAAATGCTCATCCTCTGAGCGTAACACACACGGCGGGGACTCACAGCTGTGAGCTCAGTGTCCCCGATGTTGGGGGGGGGGAATGAACCCACAACCTCCTGACTCGAAAGCGAGAGAGCGAGCGATTCAGCCAAGCTGACACACAAATCAGGGCAAGGCTTTGGCCTAACTCAGCTCTGTACCGGGCTAGAGGTGACGTGGCGACATTGCTGAGAGAGAGAGAGGGGGGAGTTTGTCTCATGTGACTCTCCCACAATCTCGAGGCCTCTGTCGTTCGGCAAAGCTCAGGGCACAAAGCTCAACTTGTGTGTTGTTGTGCAATCATTTCATTGGAGGACGTTGGCAAAGAGACTGAGAGCATCTTTCTCTCTCTCCGCTCCAATCGCTTTCTCCGGGGATGATAATAAAAACAATAATAATGATAATTGGGTCACCTCAATCCACGACCGGTCGGGGGAACGTCGCTGTGTGCAATCGGCTGCTGCGCTTCGGCCCACAAAGTGCACAGTCACTGCACTTTGCAGTATATTCTGCTCCGAGGCGTCTCGAAGACGCGATAAGGCGCTGTACCAAACGCAAGGCTTGTTATTATTATCATCATCATCATCATTACCCTGTCTCCTCCTCCTCCTCCTGGAGCTTGCGAATGGCTGCCTCTTTGCACTTGCTGATCTTGGAGTCGAGCCGGCGGAGGAAGTCGGTGACCGAGACCTCGGTGGTGACGGGGGGCGGGTGGGGGGGCTCGGCGCTGTGGTCCAGCGGGCCCCTCTCCGGCTCGGCCGGAGCTCCCAGCCCGTTGTGGTGAGGACCTTGCCGGCCGGCAACGGGGATAAGGATGGTCTCCTTCAGGAAGATGGAGTCGTTGGTGTAGAGACGGTTCATCCGCTTGATCTGCTCCATCTGAGGGCGAGGGGTCAGGGGTCAGTCTCCACCCCACGGTGACGACGACAACAACACACGATATTTACCCGGCGCCCGCCTCTCACGTCGGGAGGAAGTCCCGAGGCGCTGGACAGTCAGGGGTTTGGACCCGAGCTGGGGCTTGGGATCAGGAGGGTGGGGGTAGGAGGGTGACCAAAGGCGCGGAGGGTCTCGAGACGGGCCTTGAAGGAGGCGAGGGAGGGGGCGAGGCACTGTGACTCCCAGCCCCTCAGCTCCCAAATAGGGATCAGGAGGTCACGGTTTCAATAAGCTGTCCTAGTTGTTAGCGTGATCACCCCCACCCCCCACCCCCACCCCGGCTCCGGCCTCCTGCATACCCCGCGAGGCTATGTGGCCGACTTGACATGAGGGTAAGACCCCAGGACACCCCATCCCATGTGGGCAGGGGGTCCCCCCATCAACACCCCTCCAACACCGCACACCCCCTCCCAACACCGCACTGCCCCCCCAACACCACACACACACCCCCCCCAACACCACACACACACCCCCCCAACACCACACACACACCCCCAACAGCGCACACACCCCCAACACCGCACACACACCCCCCACTGCGTACTCCCCCCCAACACCGCACAACCCCCCCCCACACCACGCGCACACCCACCCCACCGCGCACTCCCCCCCAACCCCGCACGCCCCCTGCTGCGTATTCCCCCCCAACACCGCACAACCCCCCCCACACGCCAACCCCCCACACGCCAACCCCCCACACCCCCCAACACCGCACAACCCCCCAACCCGATAACCCCCCCCAACCCCGCACCCCCCCTGCTGCGTATTCCCCCCCAACACCGCACAACCCCCCCCACACGCCAACCCCCCACACGCCAACCCCCCACACCCCAACCCCTCCAACACCGCACAACCCCCCACCCCCAACCCCCCACACCGCACAACGCCCCCCACACCGCACAACCCCCCCACCCCAACCCCCACACCCCCAACCCCCCACACCGCACAACCCCCAACATCCCCCAACCCCCCAACACCGCACAACCCCCAACACCGCACAACCCCGCACACCCCCCCCCGCCCCCTCCACACTCACTCACCGACACTCCGTGCCGCAGCGCCAGCCCCTGCAGCGTGTCCCCCGGGCGCAGCGTGTGCTCCACCACCCGGGTGTCCGCCTGCCCACCGGCCGCGTTCCTGCCCGTACTGCCGTACATCCGCGTCTCTCCGGCCGCCCCGCGGCCCCTGAGAGCACCGGTCTCCGAGCCGCTCGCCATCTTGGGAGACCAACCCCGCGCCATGCCTTCTGGGAGCCGCTGCGCCTGCGCACTCGCGGTCGACGGCTCCAACTCCCGGCGTGCGGCGCGCGGCCGTCGCGCCGTGCGTGCGTTTCCCGGCGTGCCGCGCGCGCGGCGGGCGGTGGCGGCTGGGACTTGGGGTCACGTGGCCCGCTGCCGGCTGGGCGAGCAGGCGGCGCGGGAACTACAGCTCCCAGAACGCCCCGCGCGGGACGGGAAGCCGCAGTTCAGGCTCAGGAGAAGGGAGGAAGATGTCGTTCAAGAGGGAGGAAGGGAGAGACGCGGCGCCGAACCGGGCACTGCAGGTCGGTAACAACAACCGGGGAGGGGATCAGAGAGAGAGGGGGGAGGGCGGAGGGAGGATAACTCGTACAATCGCCTCAATCGAACGTACAGTTTCCGATCAAAACCCACTTAGAAATTCTCTGCACAAGTCGGATTTTATCGGGCAATTCATCTCCGAACTCGTAGCACCACTGACGCACTGTCGGGGTGGGGGAGAAGGGAGTTTCTTTCATCCCTCCCCCCCCCCCCCCCCCCCCGGTGTCCTGGCTGGCAGATGAAACCCCTCGCTCGCTCGCTGGCTCACTTCACGGCTGTTTGCGGGGATGACGCTGCGCGCAGAGCGGCGGGCCCGCAAAACAAAACACACAGTCACTACACTTCAAGCGAAAGGCGACATGACAAGCATAGGCACAACCCCCCCCCCCCCATCGCACTGGCCCTCCAGGCACCTGCCTCCCGGGCGCCTCTCGTTTTGCTCAGCTGCTGTGCGGTATTCATCGTTTATTTGAATCTCTAATCTTTGCAGAAGAGGAGAGTGTCAGATCTGCTGTCAAGTTACATTCCGGAGGACGAGGCGTTTCTGATGAAGAATGGCAGGTGAGGCTCTTGCGCCTTTGTTTCAGCAATAGATTGACGCGACGACAACACAGGGCAGTTACCCGGCGCCCGCCTCTCACGTCGGGAGGACGTCCCGAGGCGCCGGACAGTCAGGGGGTCGGACCCGAGCTGGGGGTTGGGATCAGGAGGCGGGGAGGGCGGGGAGGGTGGGGGTAGGAGGGTGACCCAAGGCGCGGTTGGTTGAAGAGGAGGGTCTTGAGACGGACCTTGAAGGAGGCGAGGGAGGGGATGAGGCAGAGGGACTGTGGGATGGAGTTTCAGAGGGTGTGGCAGCGAGGCTGAAGGCCTGACCGCCGGTGGTAGGGTTGGCCAGGCCGGAACCTGCTGAGCGGAGGGAGCAAAATATACAGGCACTATACTTTGCAGTATATTCAGTGAAGCACTTGGATACATCTCAAATGCAAAGGTTATTATTAGAGTGAATGAGGACTCGGGTGCAAGTACAATTGCACGATTTATAATGTGTTTTCTCTCTGCCACAGGTATGCCTGCACCGTCTGTTCCTATCGGCCCGTCTTTGACACCATGGACATGTTAGCCGTGCACCGGTCCGGGAGAAAACACCTAACCAGTGAGTCCAGAACCGTGATCCCCTCTCTCCCTGCCTCTCAGCTGGTTCCAGCTTCTTTCAGCCACGCTCCCTCTCCGCACGCTCTCCCTGTAATGGCCAAAAGGGAGCGCTCTCGTCAAAGCATCCCACTTCAAGTCAGTTTACAATAATAATAATAATCCTCGCATTTGATACAGCGCCTTATCGCGTCGTCGAGATGTCTCGAAGCGCTTCACCGCATGCGCTGTAAAGCGTAGTGACTGTGTGTTTTGTGGGCAAAACACGGCAGCCAATTGCGCCCAGCGACGTCCCCGTGGATTGAGTTACCGCATTTGTTTTCTCTGGAGGGATTATTACCCCCGGAAAGCGATCCGCCAATCGACTAACAAGCGGGTTCCTACTTAACGCTGGGTAAACGGAGGCCGGTGTGTATGTGTGGGGAGAGTAAGGAAACTTGCCTAAGGTTTCGCACTGTCGTGTCCCGCCCGGGAATCGAACCCGTGTCTTCTCACTTGTGACGCGAGGGCTCTAACCACTGAGCTACGGGACTCCAATTAAATGAGTCCTTGCATTGTGTGTGCGTTAAGTGGGTGGAGAGAGTGTGAGTTTGGGGTGACAAACTGCTTTATACTTCTGGCTACAGGTTTACAGAAATTCTATGGTAAAAAACGGGATGTACATTTGGAAATTGAGAGACGACGACACCAGGAATACCTCCGAGGGCAGGACACGGGTAAACCGGTAAGACCTTCCTCTTGGACTGTGTAAATGCAAGTTGTTCTAATGAGGTTCCACTGTGTAGCACCCTTTAACCTGGATTCCTGTAGCTCAGGGGTTAGACCCCTCGCCTCGCAAGCGAGAGGACCCGGGTTCGATTCCCGGGC